TGCGCCCTGAGCCCTGACCCCAGAGTTGAGCCCTGGGCCCCGAGTTCTTAACCCTTCGCCCTCGGCCCTGATTTCTGAGCCATGAGCTCTTGGCCCTGGGCTCTGTGCCCTGGGCCCTGAGCCTCGAACCATGAGCCCTAGGTCCTGGACTAAGGGTCGTAAGCCCTGGACCCTGCGGAATCCCGAGGAATCCGGATGAACCCAGAATCCTGAGGCACCCTCAGTAGCCTCAAGATTCCTGCAGAATCCGCGGGAATCATGCAGAATCCTTGATATTCTCGAAGACTCCCGAAGAATCCAGCAGGCTCAAAGGGCCACCAAAAACGGCACATGGACCCCAGATTGCACTACTAGACTTGTCCGGGGTTCTTGTTCCGCTTAAACAGGGTGTAAAGGGTGTAAGGGTTCGGGCTCGGGTTCTGGAACGCGCGCTAAACATGTAAACAGCATATACATCATATTTCCCAACCATCCTGTGGTGTTGGGTCCTCGTTTTGAAGAGACGTCGCCCCGCGTTCCTCCTTCCTCCTCCTTCCTCCTCCTCCCCTTCCTCCCCCCTCCTCCCCCTCCCACACCCATTCTGGCACACCCCTCACACGTTTCGTGGCCCCATAGGGAGCTCCACCGAAGGCCCCAGTGGCTGCGCCCGCATGCGGTTCCACCCCCCATTCTGGCACACCCCTCACACGTTTCGTGGCCCCATAGGGAGCTCCACCGAAGGCCCCAGTGGCTGCGCCCGCATGCGGTTCCACCCCCCATTCTGGCACACCCCTCACACGTTTCGTGGCCCCATAGGGAGCTCCACCGAAGGCCCCAGTGGCTGCGCCCGCATGCGGTTCCACCCCCCATTCTGGCACACCCCTCACACGTTTCGTGGCCCCATAGGGAGCTCCACCGAAGGCCCCAGTGGCTGCGCCCGCATGCGGTTCCACCCCCCATTCTGGCACACCCCTCACACGTTTCGTGGCCCCATAGGGAGCTCCACCGAAGGCCCCAGTGGCTGCGCCCGCATGCGGTTCCACCCCCCATTCTGGCACACCCCTCACACGTTTCGTGGCCCCATAGGGAGCTCCACCGAAGGCCCCAGTGGTTGCGCCCGCATGCGGTTCCACCCCCATTCTGGCACACCCCTCACACGTTTCGTGGCCCCATAGGGAGCTCCACCGAAGGCCCCAGTGGCTGCGCCCGCATGCGGTTCCACCCCCCATTCTGGCACACCCCTCACACGTTTCGTGGCCCCATAGGGAGCTCCACCGAAGGCCCCAGTGGCTGCGCCCGCATGCGGTTCCACCCCCCATTCTGGCACACCCCTCACACGTTTCGTGGCCCCATAGGGAGCTCCACCGAAGGCCCCAGTGGCTGCGCCCGCATGCGGTTCCACTCCCCCATTCTGGCACACCCCTCACACGTTTCGTGGCCCCATAGGGAGCTCCACCGAAGGCCCCAGTGGCTGCGCCCGCATGCGGTTCCACCCCCCATTCTGGCACACCCCTCACACGTTTCGTGGCCCCATAGGGAGCTCCACCGAAGGCCCCAGTGGCTGCGCCCGCATGCGGTTCCACCCCCCATTCTGGCACACCCCTCACACGTTTCGTGGCCCCATAGGGAGCTCCACCGAAGGCCCCAGTGGCTGCGCCCGCATGCGGTTCCACCCCCCATTCTGGCACACCCCTCACACGTTTCGTGGCCCCATAGGGAGCTCCACCGAAGGCCCCAGTGGCTGCGCCCGCATGCGGTTCCACCCCCCATTCTGGCATACCCCTCACACGTTTCGTGGCCCCATCGGGAGCCCCACCGAAGGCCCCAGCGGCTGCGCCCGCATGCGGTTCCACCCCCCATTTTGGCACACCCCTCACACGCTTCGTGGCTCCATAGGGAGCTCCACCGAGCGCCCCAGTGGCTGCGCTCACATGCGGTTCCACCCCTCATTCTCGCACACCCCTCACACGTTTCGTGGCCCCATAGGGAGCTCCACCGAACGCCCCAGTGGCTGCGCCCGCATGCGGTTTCACCCCCCCCCCATTTCGGCAAACCCCTCACTCGTTTCGTGGCCCGGGGGCGCCACCGAGGAATGTATCCACAATTGCGGTATTCACAACTACGTATGGTTGCGTCTGTCGTCAAGCTAATTTACAACGACGCTGAAGCGAATTGCTCCCCATTAGGATTCCACCAGAAGTGGAGGGTTTCCCAGCCGCCAGAGCATTCCTTCAGGTTCCGAATTGCTCCCCAACTGGATCCCACTAGACCTGGACCACACCGCGGCCAACGAGGTGCCCTGAGCCCTGTGCCCCGTGCCATGCGCCCTGACCCCAGAGTTGAGCCCTGGGCCCCGAGTTCTTAACCCTTCGCCCTCGGCCCTGAGTTCTGGGCCATGAGCTCTTGGCCCTGGGCTTTGTGCCCTGGGCCCTGAGCCTCGAACCATGAGCCCTAGGTCCTGGACTAAGGGTCGTAAGCCCTGGACCCTGCGGAATCCCGAGGAATCCAGATGAACCCAGAACCCTGAGGCACCCTCAGTAGCCTCAAGATTCCTGCAGAATCCGCAGGAATCATGCAGAATCCTTGATATTCTCAAAGACTCCCGAAGAATCCAAAAGGCTCAAGGGCCACCAAAAAAAAGCACATGGACCCCGGATTGCCCTAGGACCCGTAATAGCGATAGTCTTAGTAATATATATATATATATATGTATATATTAATAATAGCGGTGGTACTTCTAGTAGTAAGTACTTGTAGCAGCAGCAGCAGCAGCAGCAGCAGCAGCAGCATCAGTAATAGTAGTAGTAGTAGTAGTAGTAGTAGTAGTAGTAGTAGTAGTAGTAGTAGTAGTAGTAGTAGTAGTAGTAGTAGTAGTAGTAGTTATAGTAGTAGTAGTAGTAGTAGTAGTAGTAGTAGTATGAGTAGTAGTAGTAGTAGTAGTAGTAGTAGTTAGTAGTAGTAGTAGGTAGTAGTAGTAGTAAATCGTAGCAGTAGTAGTAGTAGTAGTAGTAGTAGTAGTAGTAGAGTAGTATAGTAGTATCGTAGTATTAGTAGATATTAGTAGGTAAGTAGGTAGACGAGGTAGTAGTAGTGTAGTAGTAGTAGTAGTAGTAGTCGTAGTAGTAGTAGTAGTAGAGTAGTAGTAGTAGTAGTATTGTACTAGTAATAATCGTGTCGTCGTCGTCGTCGTCGTCGTCGTCGTCGTCGTCGTCGTAGTAGTAGTAGTAAGTAGTAGTAGTAGCGCAGCAGCAGCAGCAGCAGTAGTAGTAGTAGTAGTAGTAGTAGTCGTAGTAGTCGCAGTAGTAGTAGTAGTAGTAGTAGTAGTAGTCGTAGTAGTATAAGTAGTAGTAGTAGTAGCAGTAGTAGTAGTAGTAGTAGTAGTAGTAGTAGTAGTAGTCGTAGTCGTAGTAGTCGTAGTGGTAGTAGTAGTAGTAGTAGTAGTCGTCGTAGTAAGGTAGTAGTCGTGGTAGTAGTAGTAGTAGCCGTAGTAGTAGTAGTATTATTATTAGTAGTAGTAGTAGTAGTAGTCGTAGTAGTAATAGTAATAGTATTCGTGATCCAGATAGTAGTAGTAGTAGTAGTAGTAGTAGTAGTGTAGTAGTAGGAGTATAGTAGTATAGTAGTAGTAATGTAGTAAGTAGTAGTGTATGTAGTAGAAAGTACTACTAGTAGTATAATCGTAGCGTAGTAGTAGTAGTAGTAAGTAGTAGTTATTAGTAGTAGGTGAGTAGTATAAGTAGTAATTAGAAGTAAGTAGTAGAGTAGCATCCGTTGTAGTAGCAATAGTAAGTAGGAGTGGAGTAGGAGTAGTTAGCAGTAGTGTAGTAGTAGGTAGTAAGTAGTAGTAGTTGTTGTTGTAGGATAGGAGTGGGAGCAGGAGTAGTAGAGTAAGGAGTAAGGAGTAAGAGTAGGAGTAAGGAGTAGTAAGTCCGTAGTCGTAGTCGTAGTCGTAGTCGTGTCGTAGTCGTAGTCGTAGTCGTAGTCGTAGTCGTAGTCGTAGTCGTAGTAGTAGTAGTAGTAGTAGTAGTAGTAGTAGTAGTAGTAGTAGTAGTAGTAGTAGTAGTAGTAGTAGTAGTGGTAGTAGTAGTAGTAGTAGTAGTAGTGGTAACGTCAGCCATAGTAGTGGAGAACATGCGACAGCCCTGCCACACGTTCGTGATGTTGTTGCTCCTCAGCATAAGAAGTCAGCAACTTCGATTCGTATCTGCCCCCCGCGATAATGAAATTCGGCCTCGCCGCCCCTCTCCCCAGACAAACTCTGTCTTGGCCAGAGATCATCACGACCAGGCGCTTACGGGGGAGCGGGGGGGATGAATTATTATCGGGGGCATGGGGCTAGTCTCGGGGGCGTCCAACGGGGGCGTCCAAGAGGGGGGTTCACGAAGCATAGCCCGAGGCATGTGGTCGACCCAGATGGGCCAGGGGACGTCTTCAAACAAGGAGGGGCGGCATGCGATCTGGGCAGATCTCGCGGCCCCGACCATGACTTCCCCCCCAGACATCGCCAGCTTCTCGGCCAGCACCCGCATGCTAGGAAAAGAATCAGAATAATGAAAACATAATAAGAAGAATAAGAAGAACGCAAACGGCAAAAACATAAACTTTGGCGCTCCGCGCGGATTTCTTGCATCTGCGCTGGACCCCCTCCCTGGCGTGGGGAGCGCGCCAGGGGCGGCGCCGGAGGCGCCGCTGGGGGGGGCCCCAGCGCCGATCCAAGAAATCCGGCGCCAAAAGTTTATGTTTGGATTTTGGACCAACAATTTTTCAAAGCCCTACAATGCGCAAACATTCTAGTACTTTGAATTGTCCAACTGTAGAGGGACATGCCCGACTTCAGGCCAGCCACCTCCCCCTCCTCCCCTCCTCTCCTCCTCCTCCCCCTCCTCCTCCTCCCCTCTCCTCCGCCTCCTCCTCCGCCTACTAGCTCCTCCTCCTCCACCTCCTCGCCCTCCTCCTCCCTCCTCCTCCTCCTCCTCCTCCGCTGCCTCCGCCTCCCACTGGCCCTCCTCCTCCTCTTCCCCCCCCCCCGTGGCCCCCGCATGCTCCCCCCGCGGGGCCACACCCGGCCCTGGCCCGGCGCCGTGGTGGCCAGCCTGCCCGCTCGGAGAAGCCCCCGCTCGGGGTGGCCTCCCCGCGCGCGCCGCCGCGAGGAGCTTCGGTGGGGGCGCCCTGCCGCCACGGGCACAGCGCTGCCCCTCCCTGTCGTGTCGGAGGAGGAAGAGGAGGAGGAAGAGTAGGACTAGGACGAGGAGGAGAAGGAAGAGGAGGAGGGAGAGGAGGAGGAGGGAGAGGAGGAGGAGGAGGAGGAACAGCAGGAGGACGAGGGGGAGGAGGAGGAGGACGAGGAGGAGGAGGAGGAGGAGAGGGAGGAGGAGGAGGAGGAGGAGGAGGAGGAGGAGGACGAGGACCCCCCGCGGGCCGATTTCGGAAAGCGAGCGAAACATTACCAGACCATGCCCCAGCAAAATCCCAAAGCAGTCCAAGAAGTCGCCCCCGGACGATATCTTTGTTTGTTATGTTGGGGTGCTCCTCCTGTAGAGGGGCGCGCCCGACCTTGCCCCTTCTGCCGCGTCGGACATGTCCCCCTGCAGACCGATGTTGGAAGAAACTGAACATGACCCCAAAAAATGCCCTAACATGATGCAAAACGAGTTGACCATCTTTTGGACTATCTTTGAATCGTCCTCTGTAGAGGGGCGTGCCAGACGTCACCCTGCGTGGCGGCCCCCCCGGTGGAGGGCGCGCGAGCGGCGACGCTGGCGAGCCCTCCACCAGGGGAGGAGGAGGAGGAGGAGGAGGAGGAGGAGGAGGAGGAGGAGGAGGAGAAGGAGGAGGAGGAGGAGGAGGAGGAGGAGTAGGAGGAGGAGAGGAGGAGGAGGGAGGGGCGGGAGGGGGGGATGAGGGAGGGGGGACCAGGGGAGGCGGAGGGAGGAGGAGGAGGAGGAGGCGAGGAGGAGGAGGGCGAGGAGGAGGAGGAGGAGGAGGAGGAGGTGGAGGAGGGGAGGGCGGAAGGGGAGGAGGGAGGGGGGGACCGAGGAGGAGGAGGGGGAGGAGGAGGGGGGGCGGAGGAGGAGGGCGGGAGGGAGGGGAGGAGGGCGCGCGAGCGGCGACCCCAGAGCCGCATGCCGAGGCTCGAAGCGCAGGGGGCCTCCACGGCGTCTCGGCGGCGTCGGCGGGGCACGCCGGGCCAGCGACGCCGCTGGCACCGCCCGCGGGGGCCAACGCGGGGGGGTCAGGGGCTGGCGGTCCCACATTTATGATTGGAGGCCTCCTAGATGGGATCCGAGTACGTAGATGGGGTCGGAGGATCGCGCCGCATCGCCACTGCATCGCCAATGCATCGGCGATGCATCGCCAACGTAAGCGGCGCACCGGCGACGTCGGCGTGGAGAAGGTCGGGCTCCGCACCGAGCCGCATCGCCGATGCATCGGCGATGCGGCGCGATCCTCCGACACCATCCATTCCGACCCCATCTAGGAGGCCTACAATGATGCCCCCATCGTACTTAAGGGCCGAATCCCAGACATGACTTCGAGCACCCAAAAAGGCAGCGACGCAGCGTCCAACGGATATCGCCCCCAAGGGCCCGACACGCGAAAGCCCTGCAGTCTCGGTGCTTGCTTGGTGCTCGCAGTTCCTTCTGGTGATCAAGGCTAAAGTACAATCAAACATATGATGAAGAAACTTATCAATTAAGCGAGCTGGGCCAGGTTGTCAGAAGTTTCTTAAGGAAACGCTGGGCCAGCTTTGGGAGACAGGAACGTACATTATTCATGTCTGGGATCCAAGGCTACCATATCCCCTTGAGGAACTGGGCCAGCTCTCCGGCGAGCTGGTCGAGAAACGCTGGCCCAGCTTTTCGGAAGGAGGTTTCTTAATCAGATGCTCGACTGTAGGTTGGAGCACCATGAGTTTGTGGATGCCACCACAATGGACACCCTCACAGTCAGAGCATTGAACTTAAAATGCGTTTGACATTTAAGAAAAGGTTCTAAACATGTTTGAAGCATGTTTAACACATGTTCTAGGCACCTGAGAACTGTTTGCCAGCACGCTTCCCCTCCGCTAGTCGATTTCAACTACCATAACTCTACATGAAGATCGGATCCCCGGACTGGCTCGGGGAGGCCCGCAGCGAGGCCACGCCGCCGGGCGCGGCCGCCTAGGTGAAGAGCCACGCGGGGCCGCCGTCCGCGAGCCAGAAGTTGTCGCAGCTGGACGGGGGCACGGCCCTGCCGCCCAAGTCGCCGCCCCTGCCGTTGTACGGTGATGGGCCTGTTCTTCCACCACCACCACAGTGAGCTGGAGGTGGGAGGGGGTCCTCCTCCTCCTCCTCCTCCTCCTCCTCCTCCTCCTCCTCCTCCTCCTCCTCCTCTGGGTGGATGGCTGTGCGTGGTCATACAATTCACAAAACAGCCCCCTCCGACAGTCCCAAGGGTTGTCACCGACACCTACCCCCACAGCCCGAACGGTGGAGCGCCGACACCCCTCCCCTCCGACACACCAAAGGGGGGCCCAGCGAGTGGCTCCCGACACTGCCACGACACTTCCGAAGGGGGGTCCCCGACACCCCCTCCAAAGATTGTAGGGGGGGTCAACCTCTAGATTTTCAACTCCTCCGGGTGGATCACGAAAACGCGTGATATTCAGCACCAGCAATCAGTTTCTTGGATTTACCCGGGGGAGCCGGGGAGCCTCAGATCAATGAAAAAACAAGTTTGGCGTGTCGTCGTCATAGCGTTCGCTTCACAGTGGGGCTGTCGGGGAGCTGTCGGTGGGACCGTCGGGGAGCTGTCGGTGGGGCTGTCGGCGCGGCTGTCGCGGAGCTGTCGGGGGACTGTCGGGTGGATTGTCGGGGAAACTGTCGGGAGCTGTCGGGAATCTGTCGGAGGGAGTGTCGGGGGGCTGTCGGGGAGGGGTCGGGAGTGTGGTCGGGGCGCGTCGGGGGGTGTCGGGAGTGTGTCGGTGGGTGTCGGGGGGGGGGTCCGGGAGGGTGTCTGAGGTGTCGGGGGTGTCGAGGGAGGGTGTCCGGGGGGTGTCGGGGGAGAGTGTCGGGGGGGTGGTCCGGGGGGGGGTGGGGGTTGTGTCCGGGGGGCGTCGGGGGGGGGGGGGCGTTGGGTGGTGTCGGGGAAAGGTCGGGGAGGGTCGGGTGGGCTGTCGGGGGGCGGTGTCGGGGGGTGTGCTGGGGGGGTCGAGGTGAGTGTCGGGCGGTGTTGGGGGGTGTCGGGGAAGTGTCGGGGGGGGTGGGGTCGGAGAGGTGTCGTCGGTGGTTGGTGTCCGGGAGCCGCGAGCCGCCGTCGAGTGGATAATTTCAGCGCGCGCCCTGGGGGGGCCAAACCAACGGCTCACCACGACGCCCAAGTATCCCCCCCCCTGGATAAATTGGGTTGTGGTCGGGGCGTGGTTTGGCCCCCCCAGGGCGCTGAAATTATCCCCTCGACGGGGACCGGCAACCGACACCACCCCCGACCCCCCCCCCCCCCGACAACACCTTCCGACACCCTCCAAAAAAAAAAAAAAGAAAAAGAAAGAAAAAAAACCCGACCCCCCCCCAACCCCCCCCCCCCACACCCCCCCCTCGACCCAAACCCCCCCCCAGCCTTCCCCCCGACATCCCCTTTCCCCGACCCTCCCGACACCCCCCCCGAACCCCCCCCCCCCGACACCCCCGCGGAGCACGGGGGGAGGGCCTGGCGGGGCTCCGGGAGCAGAGGAGGGGGCCTCGGAGCCCGCAGGAGCCTCCTGGAAAGGGAATGAGGAACGAAGCGCAGGATGCCGATGCCGAGGGTATGATGCGGGGCACAGAAGGAGATGGCGGCAAACGCGTCGGCAAGGTAACCAGAACAGGCCAGTGTGGTGGCGCGGGGGGGCACGTTGCCAAGGATTTCTGGCGCCGCGTGGTCGGTCAACCGGTGGTGACGCTACGCAATGAACGCCCATGTCTGGTGGTGACGCCACGCAGTGAACGCCCATGTCGGGGTCGATGAAAGCAAGCCCACCCTCAGCCCCCTCAGCGCCATCTCGTAAAACATGCTTTCATTTACATTCGCAGGATTTACGCGGGAGCCCCCGAATTAGCGTACTGACGTGCGCGGTATCCTCAAAACATGGATGTAACAAAACACGCTAAATTCATCCATGTCAGTGTCAAATTTCAAGTCCAGCCGGGGGAGTTCGAACCGAAAGGGTTTCAGCCCTCGGCATGATCTTGGGGGGGGCGTCGGAGACCCCCCCTTGGGGTGTCGGAGCGGGTGTCGGGGACCCCCCCTTCGGGTGTCGGAGCGGCTGTCGGGGACACCCCCCGCGGGTGTCGGAGCCTGCGTCGCGGACGCCCCCCGATGGTGTCGGGGGGAGTGTCGGGAGTACCCCCCCCCGTCCCCCTGGGCCGATTTGTATGGACCCCCCAAACCACGCTTAGCCATCCACCCAGCTCCTCCTCCTCCTCCGCCTCCTCCTCCTCCTCCACCTCCTCCTCCTCCTCCTCCTCCTCCCTCCTCCTCCTCCTCCTCCTCCTCCTCCTCCCTCCTCCTCCTCCTCAACTCCTCCTCCTCCTCCTCCTCCTCCTCCTCCTCCTCCTACTCCAACTCCTCTCCTCCTCCTCCTCCTCCTCCTCCTCCTCCTCCTGCTCCTCCTCCTCCTTCCCCCCTCCAACTTAGACGTGGTGGTGGTGGTGGTGGTGGTGGTGGTGGTGGTGGAGAACGGGCCCATCATACGGGCCGTTCCACATGATGACGCGGCACCCGCCCGCGGTGCCGAGCTTCAGGGTGAAGTTCAGGGCCCCCTTCTGCACGTCCGGCCACAGCGGGTCGCTCCGGGGGACCTTCGACGCGAAAGACGTCTGCCGCTCGCAGCCGGCGCCCTCGAGCACCGGATTCACGTGCGTCTCTGGGTCGAAGCGGCGGCCCCAGGTCTCGTTGCAATGCGCCCCGACGCCGCTGGCCGAGACCTCGAGCGCCCCGCCGCGGGCGTCGATGTAGCGGCGCGACGCCTCGCACGTGTCGTCGGGCAAGAAGAGGTCCGTCAGCTGTCCCGTCCAGCTCTCGTCCGAACACTCGCTGGCCTGCGTAAAGCTCGCGCAGAGGTCGTGTTTCGCCCCGCAGCCGGGCTTGGACGCGGCGGCAGCTGAGAGCGCTGCGGCCAGGCCGAGCAAGGCCAGCATCGGCAGGTCGAGCGCCTCGGCCCAGAAATGTCGAGCACCGTAGCCCAGATCCAGGCCCTATCTCGAGCCGAGCTGCTCCGACGGCCATCTGGGAACTCTCGATCGTGGAGCTCTGGGTCCTTCTCCAGAGCCGGCGCTCGAAGAGGGCTCCCCGGGGAGGAGGAGCGCGAAGGGCGCGAAACCTCCCCCCTCTCCTCTCCCTACCCCGAGAGACGATGTCCGACGCGGCCAGGTCGGGTGTTTGAGAGCCCGTGGGCCCTGCCACGACCATCACGCCGCGGAATTGATCAAACAGCGCAGCGCAACTCCTTCTCGATCGCTCTCCTTGACTCCTTGCTGCGTGCACCGCCGCGGGCGGGTCGCTGCGGGCGTTGGCTGGAAGGCTGGCTCAGCGCATTCGATGAACGATGCAGCTGATCCCCCTGTGACTCTGCCAAGCACTCCTCGTGCTCCTCTCTGCCGAACACTCCTCGAGCTCCTCTCCTCCGCTGCACGATCCGATGTGGCCGAACCTGTCGCAAAGTGTTACTGTTATCACTCCTCGTTCCAACCCCTTCCTGCTGTGTGCCAGTTCCAGGAAGAAAGGGTCTGTACTTTGGGGCAGTGCAACCCCGTACTGCCGCCACCCGAGCGCCAGAAGGCGTCTACGATTGTGAACTCGCGTGGCGGCCCGCGCTCGCTGTGGAGGCCACTCGGTCGATCGTCCTGAACGCTGACTATGTTTAAGTCGGGAAGTCGGGCATGTCCCTCTACAGGATGA